GTCTCGAACCCGCGGGCTCAGGCAATCCACTCACCTCAGCCTCCCAAAAGTACGGGATTACAGGCTGAGCCACCAAGCCCGACTAAATCTCTTTTCTTTACAGGAATCTGACCAGAAGTAGTATATTTCTTTTATATTTCATTGTCACATTTATCTGCACCTTTTGAATGGTAGTTAATATTAAAAAAAAATCACTTCTTAATGTGCACTCCTCCTTTGCTGTTATATGTTGAGCAATATCATGAAGCAGTTATCTCAACAAAAGGTTTTGAAATGATAAATTATTCAAAATATTTGTGTTTCACCATAAGTATTAATGAGACTTTAATGTAAGAAAATCTAGATATTAGTAAATCAATTCTGTATAGTATAGCAATTTAGTAGCTACATAATGTATTTTTCTTGAAACAGCCATTTTTATTTATTTATTTATTTATTTATTTATTTATTTATTTATTTATTTATTTATTATTATTTTTTGAGTTGGAGTCTCTGTCACCCAGACTGGAGTGCAGTGGCTGCTTCCGGCCACTGTAGCCTCGACCTGCTGGACTCCAGCAATCCTTCCACCCCAGCCTTCCAAGTAGCTGGAACTACAGGGACGCACTACTATGCCCGGCTAATTTTTTTTGATTTATTGTAGAGATGAGGTCTCACCAAGTTGCCTAGGCGGGTCTCGAACCTGCAGGCTCAGGCAATCCACTCACCCTCAGCCTCCCAAAGCACGGGGATTACAGGCTGAGCCACTGAGCCCGGCTAAAACAGCCATTTTTAGATGATTTATAAAATAGGGAGATAAGGTCTCCTGTGCTGCTTATCATTAGAAAATTTTGATGGATACCCAAATTTATCTTTTATGAAAGCAAGGCAATCCAAACACGGATCTTAGTAATAAGCACTCACAACTCAACTTACTTTAGAAGCAAAAATAACGTTTTATTACAGTTGGTCTTCAATGAAAGTAATTGTAAACATTAAGATGAAATGGCAATTAGAAGATTGGAATTAAGTGATACTCTTAAAATACACCATTATAAGTGACTACTACTCTCACAGTTCTTGTATAACATTCCAACCAAAGTAACTGATTCTTTGACTTCTCAGTGTTTGTATTTTATTCTTGTCATTTGACAGCACAATTTTAACTAAATTCATTAGTTCTTAGGGTGCTTAACTGCAGAGTAATAGGGCTTTTAAGTACAAACTGCCAAAAATAGCCTCAGCTTTGAAGAATAATGAACATTTTATTTTATAACCCCTCTTAGCACTTTCTCCAGATAACTGGCTGTCTGAAATATTTGCAGATTTAAAAGATCTTTAAAAACGTTTTATTCCCTTAATGACATAGTAGAATATCTATCCATAGGTTCTCATGATGCAATTAGCAGCACAATGCTGATATTAAGACAGTATCAAAATAAGGCCAGAATTTTATCCAACACTTTGTATCATTTTTTAAAAAGTAGATAAATGAAGGAGCAAAGAAAATTCCATAGGGCAGCATGACGATCAACCTATTTATGATTGAGATAAACTTATGTTTGTTGTTTAATAAAGTATACTCTGAATCTGCAATAATAATGTATAACAAAATGCAATTTTATTTTATTTTATTTAAATATTATGGTATTGGTTATCGATATATTTGCTTTCCCCAAATCACAAGCTACAGCAGAGTCCAGGGAGGGAGATATTGCCCTCAGAATGCTTGATCCATCCAGGTGCATATTACAGGCATAGAGCATTTATGCAAACATATGCAAGCATTCACATTCTCAGGGTCATGAATACACAATGGCCATTTGTTTCTTAACCAATGATATGCACAAGAAGTATATGGTAATTTTTAAAAAATATGACATACAGGATGTCTATATCTTAGCAATATTATATGAAGTGAATATAACATTTATTTATACATAAATATTTGACTATACATAGAGATTATTAATAAACTAAAATCATATGTTTGTATGCATATGTGTGTGCATATAATCCCAAACAAGACAGCTGAAACATTTAGTAACATTTTTTTTTTGCTCCAGGGAGATGTATATTTCAAGTGATATTTATACTTATATTTGAAAATAAATAGTTACTGGAAAATGAAACAAAATGTGAAGCAATAATGTTAAATAATGAGTTAGCTTAAGGTTTTCAATTAATTTCAGTTTATCATGTTGACCAATAATGGGTACTTATATATATGTTGTTTGTTGTTGTTGTTGTTTTAGTTGGGGTCTTACCCTGACACCCAGGCCACCGTGCATGGCTAATTTTGTGATTTTTCATAGACATGAGGTCTCACTTTGTTGTGCAAACTGATCTCATCCTCCTTGGCTCAAACAATCCTCTGTCCTAGGTCTCCCAAAGTTCTGGGATTAGAGGCATGAGTCACTGCACCCAGCTTATATGTACAGTATTTTGTGCCACCAGGTCATAAACATTTTTTTTCCTAAATACATAGTAATATCTTGGAACTCAAAGAACTTGCATGTCTCATAATTATTTTAAGTCACACTAAATTATTTACTTTTAGAGCCTGTTTTTATCTATTTTTACTTTATTTAACTGTATATTACAATATACTCCATAATTGTAATACATATAAGGATATACATATATATATATATTCATGCATGTGTATAGTCTTCATTTCTTCATCTATATATTTGTCCTTCATTGTTTTCTTCTTAAGTTATAAGAAACAAAGTGTTAAGGAGTTATGCCAGATTTATTTTTGTCAGTGTACTTGGATATTGGAGCATGCCAGAGAAAGAAAGGAGTTAACTGACCTAGTCAAATCCTCTTGTAAACATAATAATAACAAACTCTTGGCAAACAATTTAGTGGTATTAACTATTGAGAAAGTGTTTTTCTATAACATCATTTTAGCTGTATATACCTCATGGGCTAAGACCATAGTAAACAAATCAATAATCTGTAGACTTATAGAACAGGATTTCCTAAAATATGAGTTATATGCTATATAATTATAAGAGTATAAAGAGAAACTTGTGCTCAAACATGGCTCTGTTAGGTGTTAGTTATGTGGTCATGCCATGTACTGGAAAATCCCACCTGTTCATCTATTCAAAGTACGTCTAATATTATTAGAAAGGAACTAGGGAGCTGCTGGAACATCCTGGAATCTCCCTGTTTCATCTGTCACATCATTATGTATGTCCTTGAAATTTTAGGGAAAGTGACACTGTTTTGTTACTGAACACTTGTATAAATTAAAAATGAGGGATTTATTTAACCAAGTTTTTAGTGACAAATTGAATGTTAATGAACCTGTGGTTTTTATGTTTTTTGGACTATGCTGCTATAACAAGACCTACAACACATTATTGAGTAATCTTCATTCTGATTTTGGCATGATATAATATTATATTATGGGATATGATTGATATAATGTAAGTGTTTTAGCCAGAAAAGAAGAGAGTAGGATTCATATTTTTTCTAATAATAATAATAATAATAATAATAATATGTCCTTGGCATTATTCTCATTTAATTTTTTAATGTAACACAATATTTGAGTTCTAAAGAATTTGCCCATGTTAAAAAAAAAGTCAATCCAAGACAGGGCAATTTACCTAATGTAGTACAATTTTATATATGAGGAGGGACCCAAAAGAACCCAGAATTTATGAAAAATTGTGTATTTATCCTTACATGTTAAAACTTTAGTCACCTTCAAAGTACTTTCCATTTGAAGCAATGTACAAGAGAAACACTTTTTTCCCTGCTCAAAGCAGTTTTGAACTTGTTAATTTAATTTAATTTATTTTTTATTTTTTGAGTTGGAGTCTCACTCTGTCGCCCAGACTGGAGTGCAGTAGCAGCTCCCGGCCGCTGCAGCCTCGACCTGCTGGGCTCCAGTGATCCTTCCGCCTCAGCCTTCCAAGTAGCTGGAACTACAGGTTACCACGCCCTGCTAATTTTTTGATTTATTGTAGAGATGAGGTCTGGCCAAGTTGCCCTGGCGGGTCTCGAACCCGTGGGCTCAGGCAATTCACTCACCTCAGACCCCAAAGCGCGGGATTACAAACTGACCCACCAAGCCTGACTGAACTTGTTAATTTTAATGCCTGTTAGTGTTTCTGCTGTTTTTGTTTTGCCTCTTCCAAATCTGCAAAACATTTCTTTTGAGAATTTTTTTCATCCAGAGAAACAACCAAAAAAATTTGCTCAAGGCAAGATCAGGTGAATAGAGAGTATGGGGCATGGAAGTTATACTTTTTTGGTCAACTGCTGAACACTCAGTATTGTGTGGGCAGATACTTTGTCATGGTGGAAGAACTAGTCACTTGTTTACCACAACTGAGGCGTTTCTTCTGCAAATCATCTCTCACAAAAATGCTCACTGGTAGGTACACTGCTACACTGAATGGGTTTCTAGAATGTTTACCTAATGGAGGAAACCTTTACTGAAAGGAATCCATTCTCCAAAAGATAATTCTGGCTTTTTAGGGTCTCCCTTCATATGTATCTGACAAGTATGTGGCAAGCAAAATCAAATAACAAGTAGAAAATTCCAATGAATCGTTTAACCTATCTGACAAATCATTATAACCAGTCTAATAACAGAGCAAACAGTGTATCTAAAAATCCTATTCAATGTATGTAATATTTCATATTTGTTTCAAACAGAGGAGTGTGTTTATTTAAAAATTATAGGAATATTGAAAGAAAAGTAACTTCTTTTTTAGATTGGACATAAATAGAGGATAATAAAAATAATAATGAAAGCAGTTAATTTTTCTTCAAGTATCCAGTTACATAACAACAGCTTATATAAAAAAGCACATAGAAATTTTAGCCATTGTTTTCTTTCATTGTAGCAAACACATGCATACAAGTTATATGTTAACACGCTAACCTGTTTTAGGGTCCACGGAGAAGTAAGGTTGTCCCTGGAGAATGCTGTAAACCACCCGAGCACTGTTTCCATAGGTAGGGTCATCTGCATCAGTAGCTGTCACCTGTAGAACAGAGGTACCTGTGCATTCAGGAAAACAAATTTTAGTGCATGATGGCATTTAGCACATGATTAATTTGAACAAAGAAAAAATAGGTATGCTGAAATGTCTATGGAGAGCAGTAATGGTTATGTCCTACTAAATTTAATTAAATTTATTTATAGTATATTATTTGCTATTTTTCTTTGCCATCAACTGTACTGAAAGAGAATCAGAGTATTTAGTCTCAAATTTTTTTTTTTTTTGAGTTGGAGTCTCATTCTGTCGCCCAGACTGTAGTGCAGTGGCCACTTCCGGCCACCGCAGCCTCGACTTGCTGGGCTCCGGTGATCCTTCCGCCTCAGCCTTCCAAGTAGCCGGAATTACAGGCATGCGCTACCATGCCCGGCTGATTTTTTAATTTATTGTAGAGGTGAGGTCTCGCTGCCTAGGCGGGTCTCGAACCTGCAGGCCCAGGCAATCCACTCACTTCAGCCTCCCAAAGGCGCGGGATTACAGGCTGAGCCAGGGAGCCCGGTGCCTCAAATTTTTAATATGACTTTTTTATGTGCTGATAACATGATGAAGGGTCTCTTTTGCCCCTCATACAATCAAGGTTGTGTTGGAATATAACTCAAAATCAAATTGATATTAACTGTAAGGTTAAATCAAAGTGGGGTGAAGGCATATATTTCATGTTTTACAATGATTCAATAAAAGTGAAGGTGGAATGGTTTGTGACTAAGGTGGGAAGATGGGTGAGTTGGCATTAAATTATTGATGACATCACAACAGCCAATTCAAGTTGTTTTCTAGTATCCACACTTTTAATTTCTTACTTGGACTATTAATGACTCATAACTGGAATACCAGCATAATTATATTTTAAAAATGGACATTAGAATAAGCATATCGCACTGGATTTTTTAAGGTTAATATGCACTTCAGCATAATTTATAAATGTTAAAATATGATTTGGGGTACTAAAATTAGTGAATATATTATACTGGCTTCTTTGTGCTTACATTTTAAACCCTATTTGCATAATTTGACAAATCTATACCATATTTTCTTTACTCATAAATAAAAATTATTCTAAGTGTAACATGACAACAATCTATTAAGGGCTATACAACTTCATTGTGGAATTAATGGGTTAGAATTCTCATTATTCATAACATGCACTTGATGAATCATCTAATAGTGCATACTTGATAATTTATTCCGTATCACTAGAAAAATTCTACCCATTAATTTGGATTATCTAGCCAGCAAAATTGTTTTTACAATCAAGTGAGCCTGTATACAACTTTATAATTATTTTTCTATTTGAATATGAAAGCACAGGCAATTATCAGTTTTTAATTTTAGCAATTATCTCAATGGTTTAGGACAGAATGTCTGTTCAACTACAAAATTTGTACTTTCAGGTTAAAATTTAGACCCAAATTTGAGGAAAGCTCGTTCTGTTTTCTTCAAAAGATTCTGGAAAATTTAATAAAATTATTATGACAAATCCACCTAACAATCCTTATAAGCAGATCATAAACATATGTTGACTTTTAATAACATACTTTAATTCTGGTGTCTACACAGTATTCTTATATTGAAACTCTGAGATGAAATATGACTTGTAACTATCCATTCTCAGAGGGGGAGGTCTGTATTTATGTGTAAGAGATATTTTAAATTATAGACTAATAAAACATAATGGTGATACTACATGAAGGTAAGAATGCTGAGAAACTGGGTCATTCCTACACTGCTGATAGAAATGTAAGAGTTTGGAATAGTTCTTTATAAAACTAAAGATAAATTTACCCTAGAACCAAGTAAATTCTACTGGACATTTTAAACAAAGAAATGAAAATTTATGTTCACATAAAGACCTGTTTACAAATATTCAAAGCAGCATTGTTCATATTAGCTCCAAACTGAAAACTACCCCGATGTTCTTCAATGAGGAAATAGTAAAACAAACTGTGGTATATTCATAGTAAGAAATACCACTTAACAATGAAAATGAACACACTATTGATACATGTGAAAACTTGGATGAAACTTCAGGAATCTAACTAATACAATGTCCATTCACACAAGATTACATACTAGTATTTCATTTATATAACATTTTTGAAATGAAAAAAAAAATTTAGAAATGGGAAACAAATTAGTAGTTGTCAGAAGTTTGGGGAGAGGGTCTGGAAAGTGGGTGTTTGGTTATAAAAGGGAAACATGAGAGACACTTGTGATGCTGGAGCTGTTCATCATTTTGTTATGATGGTGGACAAACACACACACACACACACACACATGCACACATACACACTTATAAGTGGAGGAGATGCAACTATAAAACTAAGTACACTTATACACAAACACACTCATTTATGCAAGTAAAACTAGAGAAATCTTGTTTAGTAGAAATAAGTTCAGTAGATTATACTATTTTAATAGCTAGGTTATAATATTGTTTTATAGTTTTGTAAGATGTTACCATTGGGAAAAGGTACAAGAAATCTCTTCATATTCTTTTTCACAACTGCATGAAAATCTGCAACAATCTCTAAACTGCAAGTATTAAAAAACAAGAAAAAATATGTTCTTGCCTCAGCACCAGTCCTTTGTAAGAGAGCTCTACTTGGGTTGTGTGTCTCTGAGTTTTCTCCATCTAGCACTAAAATATCTGATGAATTAAATCAATTTATACCATATATGGCTATTCACATATAGACTATCTCTTCCACTACTAAGTGTAATTATTATAATTATACCATATTAAGTACTTTTTATGTGATGACACAATTGATCCATAACACCCCTTTAACTTGTTCAGAGTATACCACTAGGTAGACATTTACAAGGAAAAGTTAATTTTGAAGGTATTTTCATTGCTATCTCACTGGAAAAAAAAATAAATTAAAATCTGTAGTTTCATACACAAGCTATACTTTAAATGTGTAACAAGCTCATAATGTGGTCAAAATAGCATAAAATTATGTCACTCAAATCATTGATCTGATAGAAAAAATGTAAATAATTTGAGGTATGATTACTTGGATTCAGGAAACAGAAGGCGGTATAGAAAACAGTAAAATAACAGTCATTCAGAAACCACACTTGGGCAACCCCCTCGGGTCTCCCTTCCACTGTGGGAGTTTTTCTGTCCTCTCAATAAATCCTGCTTTCTTAAAAAAAACAAAACAAAACAAAAAAACCATGCTTACAAAATCCTCAGGTTTTGAACTAGCTAGCTCTGGCCCTGAAATAGTTATTTAAGCCTAAGTAGATTTTAATGTCCACAGAGTAGTCCCTGGGCAATCATTCCATGGAAAAAGCTGAGAAAGACAAACAGTCCAAGATCACACCTCATTTGCTGTGATAGGCTACATCGCCACATGAAAGAAAAAGAGTAGCTCCATCTAGCTTGAGGTGCCTATAAAAGTTCAGCCTTGTTAAGTGAGCCTTAAGATGCATGAAGGCAGTGACAAGTAAAATAAAGAACAATAAGAAAAAGAGAAAAAAAGAGGAAGACGGATAGCATGGTGACATTGACTAAATAATACTTTAAAGAAGCATAGGGAAATGAGTAGACTAGAGAAAAAGAAAAAATAATAACTCTCCTCCCTGATCCAAAAGTATGGTCATTAACAGCTACATGCATCTCTGTACAGTAAGTCTCACAGGTATGGGACAATTCTATTTGTGTGTGAAGCAGAGAACAGCAAATCATCTCATGTACTGTACTTTGATGGTACCTGAAAGCATCAAGGTACCACTTCAAATACACCGATTGCTGGTTGAAGGGGGCACCCCTCAAACATGCACATATACATACATGTGTGAACAGCAGAATCCAACTAAAAGCCAACCATCCAGAGAACACAGAAAGGGAGATAAATGGCAGGAATAAAAAAGAAATTTGTTTTCCAAATTGTTCAACGATCTTTTATGAAGAAGAATTGAAAAGGAAGTTTCAGGCTGATAAAATATACTATTCTTACCTTACTTTCGTGTTTATTTGAAACCTAGATGAAAAAACTATATGACTCATTCATTGGTACTGAAAATGGCTCTGTTTAGCATGAGGTGGCTATAAAAGTCCAGCATTGATAAGTGAGCATTGAGATGCATGAAGGCAGTGACAAGTGAAATAAAGAACAATAAGAAAAATTTACATTACAAAACTCTGTTTTGGGCAAAGGCTTCAGGTTCTCTCCCACTGTGGGAGCTTTTCCATCTTCTCAACAAATTCTGCTTTCAAAAAATAATTTTAAAAAAATCTTTAAAAAATTAATTCTATAGACTAAATATCCATGTATCCCCAAAATTTATATGTTGAAATTTCAACCCCTAATGTATCATATGAAGGGAGAGCCCCCACGAATGGAATTAGTGCCTTTAAAAATGAGGTGTCTGAAACTCACAAAGACATGGACACTAAACAGCATGATGCTAAGCAACTCCTGGGTCAACATGGAAATCAAAACAGAGATTAAAAAATACCTCAAAACAAATGTAAATGAAGAAACATCTTACCAAAATCTCTGGGATGCCATGAAAGCAAAAGTAAGAGGGAAATTTATATCCCTACAAACACACATGAACAAAATGGAAAGATCACAAGTTAACAGCCTAACAAGTCACCTAAGGAAGCTTGAAAAGCAAGACCACCGAAACCCTAACTTCAGCAGAAGACTCCAGATCACCAAAATAAAAGCCCAAATCTGGGACATAGAAGAAAAAAGATAATACAAAAAAATCAATGAAACAAAAAGCTGGTTCTTTGAAAGGATAAACAAAATTGATGTTCCCTAGCTAGATTGACCAAGAAAAAGAGAAAAAGTCCAAATAAACAGAATCAGAAACACAAAAGATGAAGTCACATCTGACCTGGAAGAAATACAAAAGATTAACCGGACTCTGTGGCTCAGCCTGTAATCCCATGCCTTTGGAAGGCTGAGGTGAGTGGATTGCCTGAGCCTGCAGGTTTGAGACCCGCCTGGGCAGCAAGACCTCATCTCTACAATAAATCAAAAAA